CTGGAGGGGGCGTTAAACCCACATGTCCAGTAACTCTCTGTCCTGAACATCAGGCATATTTCTGTCATGTGACTCAAAACAAGTCCAGCTTCCTCCCCTCACCCAGTTCCACAGTCACATCCAGATTTATGGGTAGTTTCCCAGCAGCGCTCCCCTCTGGTACCAGAACCTGCTCCAGTTTCTGTGGCTGCTGTATCCAATCCACATGGACAGTGGAGGCTCAGCATTTTCTGGGGAGTTCTTTGTAAAATCACCCATATCCAGATCCATCAAAGAAAATGCAGATGAATTGAACTGTAATAAAATGAGAAACATTTGTTCCTCCAAATATTCCATCAATGAAATTAAATTATTAGCTTAGCAATAGAATATATTTCTGAATCATGTACCTGATGGGAGAATGTGTGCATTGCACATTAAGGATGTGGTATGTTAGGGGGAGAGCCCAGCACCCTCTGTCTACAGTGAGCATCCCCAGGGACAGGGCAGAGGGAGGCTGGGATGAGGGTTTCCTGACAAGGTTGAAGTTCCCTTTCCTGTGAGAAAATGTGTGCTAGGAATTATTCAATTTCCCTTACTGTGATCCCCAACATCACTGACAACACTAGACTGAGATATCAGGTCACTTAACAGGCCGCATACATTGTTCATGATATGAAAGATTCTCAGTGGTACACATGCATAATCACTCCCTTTATCTCTTATCTTTTATCCAGGTTAAAACATGATTATTTCAGATGTGGTTATTTCAGGGTGTCTGCAATATGCCATGGGTTTACATAAGGGAAGAGTTTGCACAGTGTATCACTTTAAAATTCCAACATCAAGAATCAAGGGTCTCCCTTTTTCTTGTGGTTGGGAAGCAGGTGTTCATATGAACGTAGAAATGAAGAGAATGTGACAGAAAAATGACTGTGCTTTCTTTTTAAAATATTTTACACCAGGTGAACATAATTATCATATAAAATGATAATGATAAACATTTATTACTTGTAGATATATGTAATTGTTGGATTCAGAAGCTAAACAAATGCTAAACCCTATTAAATTTTTTGAAAGATGAATGAGAATTTACCAATAAAACCTACTTATCTAGTTCAACATTTCTTCTTCTGCTCAGATGAGGTTGTCCTTGACCTAATTCCAATGTGCTTCATCACCCAGGTAGTTCCCTGTCCCTGACTTACATGGTGAGTGAGGTCAAGGAAAGAGATGCCCCAACATGGACCCCAAAATGACTAGGGAATTCCTACCTCAGTCCCTCTACTTAGAAGGAAAATGCTTCCCCATATGCAAATGTCTGTTCAAACTCCAGGGTCAATCCTCTCCTGGGCTATGCAGGCTCACAGCTCTCCCCTCACACAGGGCTGAGTTCTCTGGAAGGCAGAGCTGTGGTCAGAAGAAGATGAGCCTGCTGGGTCTTCTCCTGTGCCTGCTGACAGCCCCCCAAGGTGAGGGCCTCAGGGGTCAGACAGGGGTCATGGCATGGCTGTGACTGCAGGTGACTGACAGGGACTCATGCTCCTTGTCCCCAGGTGTCCTGTCCCAGGTGCAGCTGCAGGAGTCGGGCCCAGGACTGGTGAAACCCTCACAGACCCTCTCCCTCAGCTGCACTGTCTCTGGATTCTCTCTAATGAGCTATAATGTGAAAGGAACCTGCCAGGCTCAGAGAAAGGGGCTGGAGTGGGTTGGGGTTATATGAGGTTATGGGGGTACAAACTATAACCCAACACAGAAATCCAGACTCAGCACCACCAGGGACAAGTCCAAGAACCAGGTTTATTTCCCATTGAACAGCCTGAGAGCCAAGGACACAGTTGTGTATTACTGTGCTAGACAAAGTGAGGGGAAGTCAGTGTGAGCCCAGACACAAACAGCCCTGAAGGAGACAGCAGGGCTGGGCTATAGTGGGTGCTCAAGACACCAGGGGGCGCTCCTGACCCCTGAAGCCCAGAGGACAGCCCCAGGAGCAAGGGCAGAGGGAGCTGGGGAAGGAAGGGGCTTCCTGGCAAAAAATCCTGTACCAATCAATAATCGTTTTAAATGTAAATGACTTAAATGCTACAATAAAAAGACTTAGGGTAGCTAATAGGATAAGAAAGCAAGACTCACATCTATGCTGTCCACAACCGACACACTCCAGAATGAAAGATACACACAGAGAAAAATAAAGGCTGAAAAAAGAAATTTCATGCAAATGGAAATGAAAAAAACAAGACCAAACTGGGGCAGAAATACTTATATCTGAAAAAACAGACTTTGAAACAAAGACTATAGTAAGAGACAAAGAAATACCCTACATAATAATAAAAGGAACAATCCAACAAGAGGGTATAACCTGGTAAACATTTATAAACCCAACAAAGGAGGACCTAAATATGTAAAGAAAATCTTGAGTCTGGCCTGTGTGGCTCAGTGGTTGAGTTCTGACCTATGAACGAGGAGGTCACAGTTGGATGCCCAGTCAGGGCACATGCCCATATTTCAGCCTCTTTCCCCAGAGCAGGCCAAGGCAGCCAATCAATGATTTTCTCTCATCGTTGAAGTTTCTTTCTCTCTCTCCCTCTCCCTTCCTCTCTGAAATCAATAAAAATAAATTTTAAAAAATCAAATCTTGAAGGACATGAAGGGAGAGATTGACAGGAATACTTACATTTTGTTGGACTTTAACACCCCATTGACATTAATGGATGGATGTTCCAGACAGAAAATCAACAAGAAAACACAGATCTTCAATAACATACTAAAGCAGATGGATTTAATTGAAATCTTCAGAGCATTCCACCCCAAAGCAGCAGAATATACATTCTTTCCATGTGCACATGAAACATTTTCTAGGATAGACCGCATGTTAGTTCACAAAGCAACTCTAAATAGTTTAAGAAGATTGAAATCATATTGAGCACCTTCTCTGACTATAATGTTATGAAATTATAAGTCAACCACAAGAAGAAAAAACAAAACAAAAACAGCAACACACAAAGTCAGTGAGGCTAAGGAACATGTTACTGAACAATGAATGGGTTATCAGACAGACCAAGGAAGAAATCAAAGTTACTTTAAAACAAATGAAAATAAGAACACAACCCAAATCTATGGGACACAGAAAAAGCAGTTATAATAGGGAAATCCAAACCAGCACAAACCCACCTCAGGAAACAGGAACAAGGATACCAATCTAACTCTACACCTAAAGGAACGGGGTAAAAAACCTGGAGTGAGTACAAGGAAGGAAATAATAAAGACCATAGAGGAAATAAACAAAACACGATCTAAGGAAATTAATGAAACCAAGAGCTGGTTCTTTAAAAAGATAGACTAGCCCTAACTGGTTTGGCTCAGTGGATAGGGCGTCGGCCTGTGTACTGAAGAGTCCCAGGTTCAATTCTGGCCAAGGGCATGTACCTTGGTTGTGGGCACATCCCCAGTAGGGGGTGTGCAGAAGGCAGCTGACTGATGTTTCTCTCTCATAGATGTTTCTAACTCTCTATCCCTCTCCCTTCCTCTCTGTAAAAAATCAATAAAATATATAAAAAATAAATAAAAAAATAGACTAGATTGACAAACTTTTAAACAAACTAGTCAAGAAATAAAGAGAGATGACACAAATAAATAAAATGAAAAATAAAAGTGAAGTAACAACTAACACCATAGAAATAGAAAGGGTTATAATAAACTATTATGAACAACCATATATCAACGTATTGGAAAATATGGGTGAAAATGCTAAATTTCTAGGAACATATATTCTTACAAAACTGAATCAGAAACAATAAGAAGATCTAAATAGACCAAATTAACCTAATGAAATCAAAGCAGGAATTTAAAAAATCCCAGCAAACAAAAGTCCTGCACCAGATGACTTCACAGGTGAATCTCACCAGACATTCAAAAAAGCACTAACACCGATCTTTCTCAAAATATTCCCAAAATTCAAGAAGAAGAAAATCTCCCAAGCTGCCTTCCACTGTCCACATTCTCCCTAGATCTGTCTGAGTCTCTGAGCTCCATGCCAGAGCCCTGCTGACTCTCCCCAGCTGTTCCCACAGCATCAAGGGCAGAGCAGACCCTGTAAAACCCACCTGCCCCCCTTCATCCACCAGCACCCCTCTCACAGGTGCATGCAGCTGTGGACACCCCAGGACAGATCACAGACAGGAGACCTGAAGCTGAGCCAGGACATGGTGACAGCGGTCTCAAGGGTAACATGCAGACATTGATGGTTCCAATAACAAAATTCTCCTGACCCAAATATGGTTATTCCTAAATCATTACCCACACCATCTCCTAAACACACCGGGTCATGATGGAGATTCTTCTATATCCCAATGTATGAAACTGGATCTACAACAGAGTCTATAGAATAAACACCACAAAGGAGGCAGTGCCGCTGCTACACGTCCAGCACCAAACTCCTCTGAAGGAACAGGACTTGGGAGCCTTGTCTATGTCTCTATAGCCCATGCTTCTGGTTCCCAGGGACACACACAGATGCTCCTCTCTCCCCCAACACTCGGTCCACTGGCTCTAGGCTCACACTCTGGTCTTAGTTTATCCTCTGATCACTTTGTAGGGGAAATCGTGTCAGATGGAACTTCCCGTCTCCTGATCATGAACTTCTTGCACTTTTACTTGTTTCCCAGATTTGAGAGTTAATTTCTCTTGGTTGTCATTGCTGGTTACTTTCAAAGGCATCTCTGATTTTACATCCTTCTTTTTTCATTTTGTGACAATTATCTACCTGGAATGTTTGTACAGATTTCTTAGAGCAGTTGGGTCCAGTGGAGAAAGCACAGGCCCAGACGTGGTGAATTATTTTAACATACTTGAACCTTTGGACATGTCACACTCTGGGACCGTGTCATTCTATCAGATTCTAACTGAGAGCTCCCTATATAGCAGAAGGACATGCAAATAGGGCTCCCTCTGCTCATAAAAGCCAGCCCATCCCTGACCCTGCATCTCTGGGACAGGAGCCCAGCCCCGGGATCCCCAGGTGTTCCCATTCCCTTATCAGGACTGAACACAGACCACTCACCATGGGGTTTGGGCTCTGCTGGATTTTCCTTGTTGCTATTTTAAGAGGTAATTTATGGAGAACTAGAGACACTGTGTATGTGAGTGGGTATGAGTGAGAGAAACAGTGGACGTGTGAGAGTTTCCTGACCAGGGTGTCTCTGTGTTTGCAGGTGTCCAGTGTGAGGTGCAGCTGGTGGAGTCTGGGGGAGGCTTGGTGCAGCCTGGGGGGTCTCTGAGACTCTCCTGTGCAGCCTCTGGATTCACCTTCAGTAGCAACAGCATGAACTGGGTCCGCCAGGCTCCAGGGAAGGGGCTGGAGTGGGTGGCAGTTATATGGAATGATGGAAGTCAGAAATACTATGCAGACTCTGTAAAAGGCCGCTTCACCATCTCCAGAGACAATGCCAAGAATATGCTGTATCTTCAAATGAACAGTCTGAGAGCTGAGGACACGGCCATGTATTACTGTGCAAGATACACAGTGAGGAGAAGTCAGTGTGAGCCCAGACACAAACCTCCCTGCAGCAAAGGCTGTGACCACCAGGGGGCGCTCAGGGTTTCTGAACACAAGGACCATCCCAGCAGCAGGTGCATTTGGAGGTTTGGGCTGGTTTCCTGTATGGTTTCCTCGTCATGTCACAGTTCCCCTCAGGGAACCTCTGGATTCCTGACTCTGTGTTTACCTCTGACGTCTCTGAGTTAGAAAGTCTGTTGTAAACAGAGACAACTTTCTCACATGGACAAAAGGCAGAGTCTCTTTCAAAAAATCTTGTGCCCAAATGACAATTAATGATCTAATATTCTGACCCAAGTCACATAAATGTAACGCAGGCCCTGCTGATTTAACAGTGCAGCTCAGCCCCACACAGCTCAGGTCCCAGCCAGCCAGCAGCAGGAGACCTGTGTGCTGGACAGCGGACACCAGATGAGTGTGACTGCAAAGCTAGAGAAGAAGGACCCCGGCGGTGACGTTCATTCACTTGTCATCACTCTCATAGCACCAATAGCAGGTGATGCCATCAAGAGGAAGTACAGGGACCCACCGTACCATGGAATGGATGTGCAGACTGATGATGTTATCACACAGAGGGACCTTGAAAAGGTTTATCGCTTCATGGAGGTGTCTGTTGGGAGCAGAGCAGGCTTTTCAACAAGTAAGTCTTGATGGGGTCCCCAGGTAAGGACACTCATTCATGTTTTTATTTTGTGTCAGTGATGGGGCCTGGGAGGATCCTGCTCATGGGAGGGGCTCGTGTGGGTTTAATGTCCCTCTCTCTTCAGTTTCCCAGGTGGACAGGAAAAGAGAGAGGGATGAACCTTAACATGTCAGCATCAAATGTAAAAAATAGAGCCTGACTACTTATTCCACTGACACCTAAAAATCTGAGGGAACACAAGGAGCTACCCACCATTGTGGGTAGAAAACAGTTCTAAGTCTTCAAAGATAAGAATAATGAGCACCCGTGAGCACTGATAGGGAACAAAAACAGGATTAACCAGAGGCCTTAGGTCAAGGTCCAGGGTGGACTCTGCAAGGTCATCAGCTTGTTCTGAAGGACTTGGGTCAGCTTTCTGCTTCCACAGACCAGGAGCTCCCTCAGGGTAATGAGGATCCTCAGGTGGGGGAGCTCTATTGGAGAATCCTCCCAACTGGGTGGGGTCATGATTGGATCCTTTAGTTGCTGCTACAGACGATGCATGTGTCCCTCCAATACTCACACATTAAAATCTAATACCCAAGGAAATGGTGTTAGGAGGTGGGTTCTGGGGACTTGCTTAGGTTTTGAGGGTGGAGTTCTCATGAGTGGGATTAGTGCCCTTAAAAAAGAGGGCTGGGGAAGCTCTCTTGGTCCCTCCACCTTCTGAGATTACAGAGAAAAATGAGCCACTAGGATGTGAGTGCTCACCATAACCCAACCTGCCCTCATCAAGTCTTGGATTTTCCAGCCTCCTCACCTGTGAACCCCCACTCTGTGGACTGTGTCACAGCCCCAGGAACGATGGAGAGTGTGTTGTCACATGACCATCAGGACTGACCCTACAGTTTCACTGCTGCATTGGTTGTTCAAAGTACACCCCGTGTTTCCCTCCAGTGATGGTCAAGGGCAGTGTTCCTCTGATGTTTCCTTCAACAGACAGAGTGTCCTGGTGGAAGGTCAGGGGAGGCTCTGACACAGCTGTGGTGGAAAGGCAGCATGAGAGCTGGGGGAAGGCGTGAGCCCTTTCAGTACCTCCCACATCAGCACGCAGCAGGGTGGAGGGTCACTGGAGGTGAAATCTGTAAATGCCTGGTCCTCTCAGTTACCAAGTCACAGGGAGACGGGTGATGTCCTCCTGACACTGTGGACACCAGGCCACATTGGAGGACCTTTGGCCAAGAGGCTTTAAGGGTGCATTTAGGTTTGACCATTTTAACTTAAGAATGTCATTCTCTCAAATATTCCAAAGATTTTCTGTAATAATGATAGTGAGGCACTTGAATCCTAGTGGCTCCCTACAGACCATTTGTTGAATAATGATTCCTGTGATGTGAGCCCACGGATGAGTCACTCGCTGTAAAAGTTCATCAGCCATTGGGGGGAGGGGTGTGAAGAGGCTGAGCCCAGAGAGTGTCTAGGGCAGATAAAAGGCTCTATGTGTACAGGCTCCTTCTCTCTGCTCTGATGGACCTGCAGCCACAGAAGGGTGTGGGCAGTGGTTATGTCTGGATGCCACAGAAGAGCAGCCTTGCAGGGCCCCAGCCCTGGGAGCTGGAGGTGAGTAGGAAGCTCTCTCTGGGTATTGACACATGGACAAGGACACATGAAGAATTTACGCTGAGCTGGAATATCCTGGCCCTGTGGGTGGGACATGATTGTAAATTATATAGGGTGTAACTGATGATGGTGGTATTACCAAAAACAGCCACACTGTAGCACACAAACAAGCCACCCCTCATGAACATCTGCAATCTCACAGGAGTTGCTTGTCCCTCTGAGTTGAAGGGGACTGTCCCCCAGGGTCTCCACTCCTCTGTCCCTAAGAGGAGACCATACAAATGGGGATCTCCTTGTGCTGATAAGCCTGGCCCAGGCCCTGTCCCTGCATCTCTGGGAGAGCAGCCCCACCCCCGGGACCTGCAGTCTCCATTTGCGCCAGGCTTCAACCCAGAGGAAGCACCATGATGTGTGGGCTGAGCTGGGCTCTCGCTTTGATGCTCTTACATGGTAACATCATGGAGAAGCTGGGCCTTGTGTGTGAGTGTGTGTATGTGTGTGTGTGCCTGCTCCTAATGACAACTCTCTTGTCTGCAGGTGTCCAGTGTGAGGTGCAGCTGGTGGAGTCTAGGGAGGCTTGGTGCAGTCTGGAGGATCTCTTAGACTCTTCTGCAAAGGCTCAGAATTCACTTTCAGTGACTATTATATAACCTGGATCCGGCAGGCCCCAGGAAAGGGATGGGAGTGGATAGGTTTCATAAGAAACAAAGCCAACGGTCACACCACGGAATACGCTGCATCTGTGAAAGACAGAGTCACTATCTCCAGAGATGATTCCAAAAGCACTGCCGACCTGCAAATGAGCAGCCTGAGAGCCAAGCACACGGCCTTGTATTACTGTGCAAGAGGCACAGTGAGGGGAAGTCAGTGTGAGCCCACACAAACCTCCCTGCAGCAAAGGCTGTGACCACCAGGGGGCGCTCAGGGTCCCTGAACACAAGGACCATCCCAGCAGCAGGTGCATTTGGATGTTTGGGCTGGTTTCCTGTATGGTTTCCTCGTCATGTCACAGTTTCCCTCAGGGAACCTCTGGATTCCTGATTCTGTGTTTACCTCTGACGTCTCTGAGTTAGAAAGTCTGTTGTAAACAGAGACAACTTTCTCACATGGACAAGAGTCATGGAGTCTTTTTCAGACACCCTTGTGCCAAGTACAACTTAATGAGAAAAAATTCTGCCCAAGTCACCTAATCCCAACGAGAGGCTCTGATGACTCAACAGTGCAGCTCAGCCCCACACAGCTCAGGGTCCCAGCCAGCCAGCAGGACAGGGGCATTTGGACAGTGGGCACCAGAGTCTTGTCACCCCAAAGCTAGAGAAGAAGGACCCCAGATGGTGATGGTCATTGACTTGTCATGCTCATAGTATTGAGAGTACGTGACACCAGGCAGAAGCAGGGGGACCCACAGCAGCTTGTACAGATGTCCAGACTGACGACAAACACACACACCAAGGGACATGGGATGATCATTGTGCTTATAGTTGAAATCTCTGGGAGGCACTGGAAGGGCCCTCCAGGAAGTCAAAGGTGCTTGGACAGAGGCAGGAAAGGAGGCTTTTATTTTCTGTGAGGTGGGGGGTCAGTGGGCAGAATTCCGCTTGCTTGTGTGGTTCCAACCTCTTGGTGACAAATGAAGAGGAGAACAAATCTTTCCTATCAGAGTGCCCTTGGGGCAAAGGGAGAAGAGGCAGGATAGAGCCATCAGTTGTCAGCAGTCAAACATAAAGTAATATACAGTGTGACTACCAATCCCACTTAATAACCATAAATATGAGCAAAAATGAGACAGGGGGCTCTTATGTATGAAGAACAATGATACCTACATAAATGAGTAGAAGGGTGATTGATTATAAGGAAGCAAATAAGAAGGAGATTGAGAGAGGGAAGGAGGACAACAGACAGAATGGGGCCCTTGTCCAATGAACTGATGGCTCCTCATACAGACACACCATCACCACGGCTCCTGGGTGAGGGGTGTCCACTCTTCCCTGTCAGTGTTGACAGGTTTCATAAATGGAGACTGAAAACAATGCAGTTTGGGTGGGTCATGATGAGACCAGATCAGCAATGACCCCAAAGGTGTCCAAGTGCGGATCCCCTGGACCTGGGAAGGTGTTACCTCTAGAACAGAGACACTGTGAGACTGTGCATGTAGGAAACAGGGATCCCCTTCCCACCAGTTTGCAATGACACATTCCTATTTCTCTTGTTCCCTGCCTGCATGAACTTTAACGTTTCTATTTCTAACAAACTCCTGCTGATATTTTTTCAGATACTTCCTACAATGATACAATGTGTCTCTCTCATGCCCTGCACTTCCTTCTGGGCCTTCACTGGAGGAGGCTTTAAACCCACATGTCCAGTAACTGTCCATGAACATCAGGCACATTTCTCTCATGTGACTCAAAACAAGTCCAGCTTCCTCCCCTCACTCAGTCCCACAGTCACAGCCAGATTTTTGGGTAATTTCCCAGCAGTGCTCCCCTCTGATACCAGAGCCTGCTCCAATCCCTGTGGCTGCTGTTGCCAATCCACATTGACTGTGGAAACTCAGAATTTTCTGAGGAATTCTTAGTAAAATCTCCCAAAACAGGACTCATCAAAGAAAGTACTGATGAATTGAACTTTAGTAAGATAAAAAACATTGGTCCCACCAAATATTCCATCAAAGGTATTAAATGACAAGGTTAGCAAGAGAATATCTTTCAAAATTATGTGCCTGATGGGAGAATGTGTGTATTACACACATAGGATGTTGTATGTTGTATTGGGGAACCCAGCACCCTATCACCACAGTGAGCATCCCCAGGGACAGGGCAGAGGGAGGCTGAGAGTGAGGGATTCCTGCCAGAGGTGAAGTTCCCTTTCCTGTGAGAAAACGTATGCCAGGAATTCTTCAATTTCCCTCACTCTGAATCCCAGCATCACTGATAACCTTAGACTGAGAAATCAGGTCAATCTCCTTCCATCATCATTTCAACAAATGGATGATTCAGGGATGTACACATACATGATCACTATTTTCATTTCTGTGTTTCTCCATTTAAAACCATGATTATTTCTGATGTAACTAGTTTGGGGTCTCTGAAAATAGAAGAGTGTGCACAGGAAGCTCTAGACACAATTATAAAATTTGTAGCATCAAGAGTCAGGGCTGTCCCATCTGCCTGGGGTTGGGGGGTTCTTTGTTAGATCAAATAACGTTGTAAATTAAGATACAAGATATTAAAATGTCTATTTTTAATTGTTATTTTTTCACAAGGGTAGGAAATATTTATATAAAATGAGATTTAAAAATTTGGAAATCAATTCACTAGGATTTTGAGATTCAAGAGTGGTCTGAACAAATACTAATCTCTTTTGCATCTGTTTGAAAGATGCATGAGAAGGGAAAAGTGTAACCTGCTCA